TTTGGAAATTTTACAAAGTGCAAACAGTAGTCAAGTGGTATGATGGTCCTCTCCTAATGTCCTATTACCAGACTTCAACTCATAGTTAATCTTGATTCACTTGTAGCCCCTATTATTCCCTCCCAGATTATTTTGAAGTTAATTGTAGATCTTTTTAAATTCATAAGTATTTTAGTATGTATCTCTGAAAAATAAGGACTTAAAAAAAAAAACCATAAGCCCCGGCTGGTGTAGCTCAGTGGATTGAGCGTGGGCCTATGAACCAAAGGATCACAATTCGATTCCTAATCAGGGCACGTGCCTGGGTTGCAGGCCAGTTCCCAGCAGGGGACACATGAGAGGCAACCAAACATTGATATTTCTCTCCTCGCTCCTTCCCTTTCCCTCTAAAGATAAATAAATAAAATCGTTTAAAAAAATCATAATGCCGTTATCATAACTAAACAAAATGAACAATTCCTTAATACCATCAAATATCTAATGTTCAGATTTCTATATGTCTCTCAAGTGTCATAACATGTTTTTTAAATAGTATTATTGTTTGAATCAGGATATAAATTGGTCTCAATGATAGATTGGTTTATATGTTTCTTTTTTTTTTGTCATTTCAATAACAATGGTTTATTATTTTGCTTCTGTATTTCGGGGAGGACGGAGCATAGCTGGAGAATACTTCCAATCTCTCATGCAGTCGCTGTCAGACAGGGCTGGGGCAAGGGTCATCTCTAAGGCTTCTTTACTCATGGGTCTGGTTGCTGGGTTGGGAGGACTCGGCTGGGACTCTTCAGACCTTTCTCTGCATGGGCTCTCCACAAGGGCTCTCAACATGGTTACTTGGAGACGCCTGATTTCTTACATAGCACCTGACAAGTGCCTCAGGAGAACCTACAGAACCTGCACAGCCTTTCTAAACCTAGTCCTGGAAGCCATTTAGCCTTCCATCACAAAGATCTGACCAGGTTCAGGGGGAAGAGATGTAATTCATCTCTTGAAGGAAGGGGTATCAAAGAATTTGTGGCATATTTTAAAACCACCATTTTGTCTTGATCCAGCAAACCTGGAACATGTGGCACTTTAGAACATATCTGTTTAAGACAAAAAGACAGAAGTACTAAGAGCAGCAAGCTGGGAAATCCAGCACATGGGGGACTGAGTGGATCTAGGAAGGAGGGTCGACGTGGCACCTTGAAGGACCAAGCCAGTCTGCACAGTGGCCTGGGAATCAGCAGCAGGGTGGACTAGGCGGAGGCCTGAAGCAAAGAGCTAGCTTCTGTGTAGCAATTCCATGTGGGAAAGACTAGGAGCAGCAGTAGTGGATAACCTGGCTCCAGGGCTCTTCCAGTTTAGAGGTCTGTGTGAGGTCTCCTCATTAATACAACCATCTTCCATGATGATCCATGTACAGGGAAGGAAACACTAGGGACTTCTAGAGGGATATCTGACTGATTCTCCTTATAGTTGCCCACATTCTTTCTTTCAAGAACTTATTCATTACCAGGCAGTTTTTCTGAAACCCGTGAGAGTCCGGCCCGTCCCCGGCGCAGAATCACATTTTTAAATTCCCAACTAGGCTGGACCCTTCGCAGCGACCTCTACAAAGGGCCACGGGGGCTCAGTTCTCCAACGCTGTCCACACCCACATAAGCTTGTCTCTGGGCAGGTCACTTTGGTTCACCTGGGTTCTTCTCCAACGGGAGGTACTCTACTATCACCCGGGGAGCTTTTAAAAAGTACCGATGCCCACTGCCTCCTGGGACTCCCTTAATCGGCCTCCGGATGGGCGCAATAGTCCTCCATGAGTATTTAGTTAGTGCTACCCCCTCTAGCTGCAGGAATGGCACTATATGTTTCTTAATATTGGGTTGGCCAAAAAGTCCATTTAGTTTTTCTAGAAAGTAAAAGATACAGTTTTCATTGTCACCAATAACTGTATTGATTTGGATATTTTGATGTCAGCTAACTCTTGCTGTTGGCTTCTAGTGGGTAGAGGCCAGAGCTGCTGCTGAACATCTTCTAATGCATGAGACAGCCCCACAGCAAAGAACTACTTGGCCAAAATGTCAGTAGTACCAAGAAACTTTGCAAACCACTTTTGACAATGTTCAATCAGTCATAGCACCTTCTGCGCAGATTGTTTCTTTGTGTTTGCATTTTTACTTTCTTGAAATAATAAAGCATAATATGCTGAAAATGTTGTCTTTTTCCATCTTCAATATTAAAATGGCTGCACAAAAATTTACCAATTTTGATAGGTTTTTTTAAGTGCGTGCTGATATGACAGCTGTCACAACACAATCTAACAAAATTGCTTTGAATGAAGTTAAAGACAGCTAAGCACTACTAGAGCCATTGTACAGAAAAAAACTAAAACTTTTTGGCCAGCCCAGTATCTTTTTCATCTATGGGTTTTACTTACATTTCTATTTTTTCCTTTGGGCAAAATATAAATTAGATGGAGACTAGCATTATACCCAAGGGCAGGCAGAAAGGGAAGGATGAGGTCAATGGCACATGTTAACTATGAGGGAGAAAGGACAGAGCAAGTATTGTAGAAAATTTGGCTGTCAGTAAGTTTTGATCCTGTGCTATGTATGGTAGTAAGAAACTGGTCCCAGAACCTGAAAACTTGGACTCCAGTCCTAGGTCTACCATAAGGAGGCAAATTCTGTTGGCTTCACCTCTTGGAGCTGACATTCCATCAATAAAATGAAGAGAAAGAGTACTTACCTTGGCTTTTTCACAGGGTTAGGTTGAATGAGATCTGATGGCACTTCCTATTGTCTGTTATTAGAGGGCAGGATCAAATGAGGTAGTAACATGTAAGGAATAGATTGACTGGGAAGGCTGCTCTATATGTGAGTCATAGATTTGTAGTTTATTCCTATTGGTGTGGTTTGGCAGCTTTTACCTCAATTTAAGGACCCCTTCTGTACGTATCTTCAACTAGTTTTGCCCAAGGATGTTTCCCTCCTTGCCTTTGAGTTGATGGCAGGCACAACAAGTTAGAATGGCTTTTTTGTTGTTTTTAGAATCTTCTGAAAAAGGATTTAACTGTTAACTTACCTGAGCCATGCTGTGGTTTCAGAGAAAGTCATCTGTATCCCTTAACCCAGACTTAGGAAATTGGAAAGAGAGAGAGTTTGTGTATGTGTGTGTGCACACACGTGTATATGTCTGTTTGTGTTTTGAGAGAAGCTGTGTTTAGTGATGTGTATTTGTTTTCCCATTTTAAGAAAACCATTTACTAATGATTGTCATTGCTTTGTTAGAAAAATTGAGTTTTTTTGGTATAAATGTTATTGAGGCATTAGATAGATAGATGATAGATAGATAGATAGATAGATAGATACACAACACACACACACACAGAAACATAATTATAAGTATATACCGAAGTGAGTTTTTGTAAAGTCAACACACTCATGTTACCACCACACCCCGCCCCCAACAAGAAACAGACCTTGTTAGAGCTTCAGAAGCTCCTTATGCTTCCTCTAGTTACTCTTCTGTCTTCTACTGAACCAGGGGACAGAGACATGCCCATATTTATTTTGGAGGAACATAGGTTTGATATAGGCTAAACCTTGGTTTTAGTGCTGAGGTTGGGGGTATTATGGTGATTTGTGCTATTGCATCATGTGGCAACTTTATTAGAAATCTTGGGCTTTACATAGAATGTGCTGAAGTATCTGCAGGCAAATTTCTTGGCTATTGATTGGATTGTCTACCTGATGACACCCCCTCAACCTTAAGTGACTTCTTTCCTTATCCATTCCTCTGTTTCTGCAATGTGCTAAGCCCTTTGCTGAAGTGTTGACAATTCAACAGGGGTGTAGTCATGTCTTCAAGCCCTTGTCCCATGTATGTGGGTGCCTAATGGGAGTGCAGGTGACTGTGGAGTGACCCGGAGGATGAGGAAGAAAGGTGTGTCAGGTCTGAGAGTCTGCAAGGAGTTGGCAGGGCCAAAAAGCAGGGAAGGTTGCTTTAGGAAGCAAAAATATTGTATAAAAAGGCACTGAGGTCATGTTCTAAAAATTTGTTTGGCAACAATTCTTAGTTGTTTGACAACTAACATTTATTGAACAGCTAATGTGGATGATATTTAAAACAAGGAGAGAGCTTCATTTACGATATTCTAAAAACTGTAAATGCTTTACTATTGGGAGTTGCTTCAGGAATTGTTGTGGCCTTAGAAAACTTGAAATAGTGAATGATACTGGGTATTTCTTGGGGTGTGCGGTGAGGGTTAGCTGGAGGCCCAGGACACCTGGCAGGGTGAGGTATCATCTGCTGTTGGCATGGAGCTCTGATTAACATAGTTACCTTACTCAGGCCTGATAGTGTCAGAAGGGGTATAGCGAGGCACATGTAATTGCTGCTGTTGTGGGGTAGGTGGTTTGGGTTCAAAGGCAGATCAGATAAAGCTAATAGCAGATATCTGAAACAATTTTGAGAATTATAGTTTGTCTGTCTAGTTCTAGATTTAAATCTAGGAAGTCCCTTTGAAAAGCTGAAATAAAATTGTTTTTCTGCATTCTGAATAGCTCCTTTAATTATATTTGTGTTTGTAGTACTTTTCTACCCAGGATGACACTCTTGAATGTACATCAGTAAGGCTGACTTGTCAGTTCTTGTGACATGGAAGTTTTGTGGCAAAAAAAAGTTGTCAACCAATAAGAAAATTTTACTTATTCCTTCCCTGGCCGAGTGGCTCAGTTGGTTGGAGTGTTGATAGGCCCATACACCAGAAGGTTGTGGGTTCAATTCTTAGTCAGGGCACATACCTGGGTTCTCGGTTCAATCCCCAGTTGAGGCACATATAGAAAGCAACTGATTGATGTTTCTCTTTCACATGGTGGTTTCTCTCTCTTTCTATTTCTCCCGCAATCCATCTCTCCCCTGTCTTTGTAAAATCAATAAACATCCTCAGGTAAGAATTTTTTTTTAAAGAAGAAATAAAATTGTATTTCTGATCAGGACTCATCCGCCTTCTCTTCCAGGGCTGCGGATAAAGGAAACCAAGGAGGTTTATGAAGGCGAAGTCACAGAGCTAACTCCGTGTGAGACAGAGAACCCTATGGGGGGGTATGGTAAAACCATTAGCCATGTCATCATAGGACTTAAAACAGCCAAAGGAACCAAACAATTGAAAGTGAGTATGTCTGTGGACTCTTTTCTCTTGTCTCATAATCAGTACTGGGTGGCCTTGGATAAGTTGTATAACCCGTGTCCTGGTTTCCTTGTATATGCCCTGTGGGTGATGGTCCCAGGGCCATTTGAAGATGTTATATGTATAAAGGAGTAACAGGTATAGAGCCAATACACAGAAGGGCTCAAAAAAGGTAGCTTTATTTTTACCCCTGGAAATTATGTTTGTTAGTTAAAACATGAGCTGTGTGTTTAGTTGAGTATACTTTCTGTCATCCCATATCCCATGTTAGGACCATTTCTCAGAGGCCTTAGGCCTCTCTCTCTCTGAACCTGGGTGTCAGTTTTTCAGTTATGATGCTCAGGCTTACAGAAATCAATGCCATTAAGTAATCTGGTAAGAGCTGTAGAATGGATGAGATTGGTTTAAGAGAGACCAAGTACACCTCCTGACTCAGCGCCTTGTATGTGTCAGAACCTAGAAACCTGGAGTAATTTTAGTGATTGGTTCTGCTTAGAGCAGGGCTTTGCCCCTGCAAAGGCATAGTGCTGGCACTGTGGAAAGCCCTAGAAGACCCTCTTCAGACCCCTGTCCTATAGACATTGAAAATGCTGGCAACAGGGGCACTTGGGGAGAAGAGCATGGATTTTGGAGCTTGTAAGGGAATCCTGACTCTGCTATTGATAGCAGTGTGGCCTTTGGGAAATGACTTTATCTGTTAATTGGGAAAAAAATTGTCTATCTCACAGAGCTCTTTTAAGGGTCAAAGTTGTGGCTTTGGATGTGGCACCTATTGTAGTTACCTAAGAAGTGGTAACTTTTTCTTTAATATATATTTTATTGATTATGCTGTTACAGTTGTCCCATTTCCCCCCTTCATTCCCCTCCACCATGCACATCCCTCTGACCCACATTACTCTCCTTTAGTTCATGTCCATGTCTCATACATATAAGTTCTTTAGCTTCTACATTTCCCATACTATTCTTACCCTCCCCCTGTCTATTTTCTACCTACCATCTATGCTACTTATTCTCTGTAACTTTTCCCCCTCTCTCCCCCTCCTACTCCCCTGTTGCTAACCCTCCATATGATCTCCATTTCTGTGGTTCTGTTCCTGTTCTACTTGTTTGCTTAGTTTCCTTTTGCTTTTATTTTAGGTGTGGTTGTGAATAATTGTGAGTTTGCTGTCATTTTACTGAACATGTTTTTTATCTTCAAGTCCCTTTAACATTTCATATAATAAGGGCTTAGTGATGATGAACTCCTTTAACTTGACCTTATGTGAGAAGCACTTTATCTGCCCTTCCATTCTAAATGAAAGCTTTGCTGAATAGAGCTATCTTGGATGTGGGTCCTTGCCTTTCATGACTTGGAATAGTTCTTTCACTTGTAGGTCCCTTCTTGCCTGTAAGGTCTCTTTTGAGAAATCAGCTGACAATCTAATAGGAACTCCATTCTAGGTAACTGTCTCCTTATCTCTTGCTGCTTCTAGGATTCTCTCCTTCATTTTAATCTTGGCTAATGTAATAATGATGTGCCTTGGTGTGTTCCTTCTTGGGTCCAGCTTCTTTGGGACTCTCTGAGCTTCCTGGATTTCCTGGAAGTCTATTTCCTATGCCAGATTGGGGAAGTTTTCCTTTATTATTTGTTCAAATAAGTTTTCCACTGGTGACTGTTCCTCTTCCCCTTCTGGTACCCCTATATAATTCGGATGTTGGAACACTTAAAGATGTCCTGGACGACTTCCGCCAAGATGGAGGCGTAGGTGGAAACACCTTGCATCTGCTCACAACCAAATCTAAAAACAACAAAGTTTTAACAAATAAATGCAACCAAACCACACAGAAAATCGACAATACGGAGTCCGAAAACAACGAAATGCTCAGCTAAACCGGTAAGATGGGTGAAGCCAGCAGAGGAGCGGGTTGGCCACAAAGATCCCAGACTGGGGTGGTGTGCAAGCAGCTGAAGGTGGGGATCCCAGGCGTGGGCTAGCTTCGGGTGGACACAGGGAAGAGGTGTGGCTGGCTGTCTGCGGTTGGTCAAGCATGTGCGTGCAGATAAACCAGTGAAGAGGCGAGCATTGAGACCGCACAGCGCAGGGTGGCGGGCTCGCACATTTCCGCTCAGATAAACAGGCCAGGGCAAGTGGTGGGACGGAGTAGGCGGGCGAAGAGGATCACCATTGCTCCCTCTCTGACCTTGCCCCCACATACACTATCACAAACCAGCGACCTGGGTGGCCCCACCCTGGTAAACAACTAAGGCTCTGCTCCTCATACATAACAGGCACAAACAGATAAAAACATGGCTCAAGAACAATTCAGAGCTCCAGAGCCGATAAATCTAAGCGATGAAGAAATAGCAAAACTCTCAGACGCACAGTTTAAAACACTGGTGATCAGGATGCTCACGGAACTGGTTGATTTTAGTCACAAATTAGAGGATTATATGAAGGCTAAACTAATTGAAATGAATGGTAATTTAATGCACAGGAAACCAATAGTAATGGAAAGGAGACTGAGACTCAAATCAAGGGAGTAGACCAGAAGGAAGGAAAAAATGACCAAACAGAAAAATATGAAGAAACAGGAATTCAGAAAAATGAGGAGAGGCTTAGGAACCTCCAGGAGATCTTTAAACGTTCCAACCTTCGAATTATAGGGGTACCAGAAGGGGAAGAGGAACAGTCATGACTGGAAACCTTATTTGAACAAATAATGAAAGAGAACTTCCCCATTCTGGCAAAGGAAATAGACTTCCAGGAACTCCAGGAAGCTCAGAGAGTCCCAAAGAAGTTGGACCCAAGAAGGAACACACCAAGGCACATCATTACATTAGCCAAGATTAAAATGAAGGAGAGAATCCTAGAAGCAGCAAGAGATAAGGAGACAGTTACCTACAAAGGAGTTCCCATCAGATTGTCAGCGGATTTCTCAAAAGAGACCTTACAGGCAAGAAGGGGCTGGAAAGAGGTATTCCAAGTCATGAAATCCAAAGACCTACAACCAAGATTGCTCTATCCAGCAAAGCTTTCATTTAGAATGGAAGGGCAGATAAAGTGCTTCTCAGATAAGATCAAATTCAAGGAGTTCATCATCACCAAGCCCTTATTATATGAAATGTTAAAGGGACTTACCTAAGAAAAAGAAGATAAAATAAGAGGAACAGTGAAAGGACAGCAAACTCACAGTTCTCAACAAGCACACCTAAAACAAAAGCAAACTAAGAGGACAGCTAGATCAGGAGTGAACCATAGAAATGAAGATCACGTGGAAGGTTAGCAACAGGGGAGTGGGAGAAAGAGAAGGGGGGAGAAGGTACAGAAAGCATAGATAGTAGATAGAAAGTAGATGGGGGAGAGTAAGAATAGTAGGGGAAATACAGAATCTAAAGAACTTGAGGCATGTGTTCATGAACTAAAGGGGGGGAATGGTGGGGGAAGGGTGTGCAGGGTGGAGGGGAATGGAGGAGGGAATAGAACAAATGTAATGGCATAATCAATAAAAAATGTTAAATAAATAAATAAAAAGAGGGAAAAAAAGATGTCCTGGAGGTTCCTTATTCCCTCCTCATTTTTTTGAATTCTTGTTTCTTCATATTTTTCTGTTTGGTCATTTTTTCCTTCCTTCTGGTCCACTTCCTTGATTTGAGTGCCAGTCTCCTTTCCATTACTATTGGTTTCCTGTGCATTTGCCTTCATTTCAATTAGTTTAGCCTTCATATGTTCCTCTAATTTGTGACTAAAATCAACCAGTTCTGTGAGCATCCACATCACCAGTGTTTTGAATTGTGCCTCTGATAGGTTGGCAATTTCTTGATCGCTTAGATTTATCGGCTGTGGAGCTCTGAGTTCTTCTTGAGCCATGTTTTGATCTGTTCGCGCTTGTTATGTATGAGGAGAGGAGCCTTAAGTGTTCACCAGGGCAGGACCACCCAGGTCGCTGTTTTGTGACCCTGAATGTGGGGGCGTGGTCAGAGAGGGAAGAATGGTGGTGCTCTCCGCTCTCTCCTGTCCTGTCCACCTCATGGGTTGCCCCCCACCTGTTTATCTGTGTGCACATGCATGACCGCAGTCATCCAGCTGCCCTGCGCCTTCCCTGGGTCTGCCCATATCTACACTGCACCTGGGATCCTCACCCTCGGCTGTCTGTGCGCTGCCTGGGTCGGGGATCTTTTTTGCCCCACCCACTCCTTTGGTGGCTCTGCCCCTCTCACCGGTTTAGCTGAGCGGTTCATTGTTTTCCGACCCCGTATTTTTCGATTTTTATGTGGCTTGGCTGCGTTTATTGTTGTTAAAACTTTGTTGTTTTTAGATTTAGTTGTGTGAGGAGGCAGAGTGTTTCTACCTGCGCCTCCATCTTGGCGGAAGTTCGTTTTTGTTTTCTGTTTTCTTTTCCATCTAATTTGTGACCAAATTCAACCAGTTCTGTGAGTATCCTGATCACCACCAGTACTTTGAATTGTACATCTGATAGGTTGGCTATCTGTTCATCACTTAATTGTATTTTTTCTGGAGCTTTGATCTCTTCTTTTGTTTGGGCCATATTTTTTTTGTCTTGTTACATGGTGAAGGGCAGAGCCTTAGGTATCACCAGGGCAGGGCGGAGCCTTAGGTATTCACTTGGGTGCTGTGTGGCAACTGTATGTGGGGGAGGGGTCCGAGAGGGAACACTGATGCTTGCTCTGCTCTCTGCTTTCAGTCACTTATGCCACTTCACCCAAGCAAATTGGACCTTTCTAGTGCTGGTTCCGGGGTGGGTGGACTCGTGTACATTCTAGGACCTTGTGAGTCTCTCCAAGGAATTCTCCTGTGAGTCTGAGAATTTCTCCTGCTGCCTCAACTCCTACTGGTGTTTTCAATCAGAGGTTTGAGGCTTTATTTCCCTGCACTGGAGCTCTGGGTTGCAAGGTCTGTCTCACTCCCCAATTGTTCCTCCGGGTTTATCCGTGCCGAAATGTGGGACTACCCACTCCACCAGGCAGTGCTGCCACCTTGCCAGCCACAGCCTTACCTGTCCTGGTCCTCCTCTGTCGCTTTGCCTCGTGTCTGCTTTGCCTCACATCCTCTCCAGGCACCTGTCTCCACCCCTCCTACTGGTCTGGATGAGTGTGTTCTTTAACTCCTTGGTTGTCGGACTTCCATACAGTTTGATTTTCTGTCAGTTGTGATTGTTTTTTGTTTTTAAATTGTTGTCTTTCTTTTGGTTGTGTGAGGAGGCACAGTGTGTCTACCTATGCCTCCATCTTGGTCAGAAGTCTAGAAGTGGTAACTTTTGATATTATTCAGAGCCTTCAGTTAGAGAAATGGAGCAATCTAGATGATAGGCTTTGCTTTATTACTACTAATAATAAAACATTTTTTTAAAGATTTTTAATTTATTTATCTTTAGGGGGGAAGGGAAGGAGAGAGGGAGAGAAATATCAATGTATATTTTATATTTGTCCCTTGTTAGTACCCTGATGGGAACTGGCCTGCAACCCAGGCATGTGCCCTGACTGGGAATCGAACCGTGCTTGGTTCCCAGGCCCATGCTCAATCCACTGAGCTACACCAGCCAGGGCCTAAAACATTTTTTATCATAGCTCTTACTTATTTTATGTGCCAGGCCCTGAGCTAAGTGGTTCAAGAAATATTTATTATCATTTATAAGTGTGGGCAATTTCCCACAGATAAAAGAGTTGGGGCTGATGAAGAGATTAAGCAGTTATCTTTGGATCATATAACCAGTTCAGTGGTAGAGCAGTCTCCAACTTGCTATGTGACCTTCTGAAGTCAGTTGAGCTCCCTGGGCCTCCATTTTCCCATCTGTAAACTGTGGTAGATTTATTAGAATTTGCAGTATAATTTCTCCATCTTTGCTCCCTGTTGTCATTTGGTTCTCTGATTCTGTGAGGTGGATTTTTGGTCATTGCTTTATGGAGATCATGAAAATATCTCTTCTTCAAAGGGCCATTTTTCTTTTTCCTGAAAGGTTTTCCATCTTAGGAGCATGCCTCTGCAAATATCTCTTCTAAATCTGCCTCTCATCTCTCCCATTCTGTATTATTTGGATTTCTTATCAGGATATCATATATTTCCAGTAATTATGTCTTTAGTTGGTTCATTTGGGAAATTATATAAGCCAATATAAATATGCTTGAAGCAAAAAAAAAAGTATATACTTTCCAATATATGATAGCTAAAGTAAGGCATGCAGTTTAGATTTTACCTATCCATAAGGCTGCTTTGGACAGTTTAAGAAAATAATGTAGGTGGCCCTGGCTGATGTGTCTCAGTGGATTGAGCACAGGCCCGCGAACCAAAATATTGCTGGTTTGATTCCCAGTCAGCACACATGCCTGGGTTGCAGACCATATCCCCAGTATGGGATTTGCTAGAGGCAACCATACATTGATATTTCTCTCCCTCTCTTTCTCCCTCCTTTCCCCTCTTTAAAAATAAATAAATCTTAAAAAAAGAAAATAATATAAGGGAGAGGTTAATTATTTCTTCTAAAATGAGTTCTACTAGGTACTTTGAACATATGTACAGTATACCTGTATTTTGCCACGTATAATGTGCACTTTTTTATCAAAATTTTTTAGGGAAAAATAAAGATGTACATTATACGTGGGTATAATAATCCCATGGTTTTTTGTTTTTAAGATTTTTAAAATGTATTTTTAGAGAGCAGGGAAGGGAGAGGGAGAACAAGAGGGAGAGAAACATCAACGTGTGGTTGCCTCTTGTGTGTCTCCTACTTGGGGACCTGGCTCACAACCCAGACTTGTGCACTGACTAGAAATCAAACCGTTGACTCTTCTGTTCTCAGGCCTATGCTCAATCCACTGAGCTATACCAGCCAGGGCTAATCCCATGTTTAATGGGCACAAAAACATGGGTGCACATTATACATGGCAAAATATAGTAATTGGATAGATGGAGCATAAATACCCACTGGTTATTTAAGTGTGAAGGAGAAAACCATACTTCAAATCAGTATCAGTTCCCTCCCTTACCCTATGCTGTGTCAGAGGCTTATCAACCACTGTCCCTCCTACCCATAACAATGTTCCAGCAGGACATTAGGCCCCACCCAGCCAGAGAGGCAGAGCTTTGTTTTTGTGGTAACTATTTTGCAACAACTTTATTGAGATATAATTTTAATAAAACCCACCCATTTTAAGTGTACAGCTTAAGGAATTTGAGTTGTGCAGCCATCTATTTACAGAGTTGTACAACCATCACAGTTTTAGAACATTTTTATCACCCCAAAAGAAACCTCATGGCTGGTTACAATACCTTCCCATTCTCACCCATAGCCCCTTGCAGCCACTAATCTATTTTCTGTTTCTACATACTATTTACCTTTTCTGAACATTTCATACAAATGGAATCATACATTACATGTTCTTTCATGTCTGGCTTCTTTCACTAAATCCTGGGTTTTTGCTCTTTAATTTTGTATGAGACAAAGCCCAAGTTTTTTTCACATTATAAAATGAAGTTTAGCTGAGAGAAATTTATTTCTAAATATTACCTCCTTATAAAAGATGTCCTAGAGTTTTGATCACTGAGGATAGCCTGAATGTGGATGACCTGGAAAAAAGCAAGAGTTCCTAGAATGTGCTACTGCCTGGAGATTTATATAAATAAGTAGGCAAATAGGGAGCAGACCCTGGAATTTGAGTCAGAAGGCTTGAGAAGTATCCTGGGTTATGTTTCCCTTTCAATTTTACACATCTGTGATCACATCTGGGTGCTGTTTTATAGATGAGAGGAAACTGATAGCTTTGATTCAAAGCATGGGCCCATAACATGCTAGCCACAAAGAGTAAGCACTATGTGGCTTCAGCTGTGGAAAGTTCTATTAGTACCTGTGGTGAGGAAAGCAAAGGATTGACGTAGGGACAGCAATTTTTTAAGAGGTGTTGGTACCTATGGTCCCAAGGACAGTTCGGGTTACCTAAAAGCAGTCAGAGCCATATTTGTCAGTTTAAGTCTTAGGAGTAAAGGGGAAAAAGAGACTAGGTTTCTCCTTATGATCCTCTCTGTCTGGCATACAGGTATGCTCACTCTCCTGCTTTCTCTTTAGGACACTCAATCCCTCAAAGCCAGCCTCACACATCCTTATACATACACATGCACACATGCATGTGCACACACAGATATTGTCTCCACTCATTAACTATCTTAAATCTGTTATGGAAAGATACTTTACAATATGTCAGAAGTAAATATATGTATTATAGTTCTTTGATTCACATATTTTTTAAAAATTTTAAGCTGGACCCCAGCATTTTTGAAAGTTTGCAGAAAGAACGAGTAGAGGCTGGAGATGTGATTTACATTGAAGCCAACAGTGGAGCTGTGAAGGTAATGTGTGATTTGTTTGCCATGGGGACACTTAGATGACCAGGAAGTTGCTTTATATACGGGGGTGGGGGTATGGGGTGTCTTCTACAGTGTTGATGAAAGGTAGGCAGTTGCCCCTTTATGTTTAATAAAGTTTGCTTTCCCTTTATGTTCATTCTAAAAAGTCAGTTAGAAAAATACCTAAACCTGTTTAGAGGGGGAGTACAGGGTGAGAAAGCAAGACTATAGTCATTTTTGCAAATTGAAATGTACAGCGTATTTAATCTTTTATCTGTTTGGTATTTTCTTCTCAAGATATATGCATGTGGAAAGGAATGCTGAATTAGTTGGCGTTCTTTTTATATCTGATTTTCATTGTCCTGTACAGTGTTCCTCACTGTTTAATGGATGAGCATAATACTTCATATCATACAATAAATCACCCACCTACAAGAGTCTGAACAGCTCCCTCTGGCTCAAGTTAATCTACTGGATTTGCCCTTTATCAGGAATTGCATATAGTTAAAAGAGAGGAGGAAAAATATTGTTTGAGAAAATATTGGGTGTTTTTCAACTGAGTTTTTGAAGCCTAGTGATAAGCAGATAGTTTCCTTCTCTTGGCAGCCAGGGGAGTGGGTTATATTTGGAGTTAGTCAAGTAAACTGTCAAGCCCACACTTGGCAACCGAGACTTCATCTCACTTAGCAATGTGCCTTTTGGGGATTTGGCAGTGAAAACTCACCAGGCACTCATGTTTCTCTCCTTTTGCCAGAGGCAAGGCAGGTGTGATACCTATGCCACAGAATTCGACCTTGAAGCTGAAGAGTATGTCCCCTTGCCAAAGGGGGATGTGCACAAGAAGAAAGAAATCATCCAGGATGTGACCTTGCATGACTTGGATGTAGCCAATGCCCGGCCCCAGGTAATGTCTTCACCTAGGCATGACCTGGCACATGAGCCCTTTCACATGTTTGAGGAAGCTCTGGGAGTGAATTGTCAGAGGCTTACTGCCCTTTCTTAGGGCAGCAGGTTCTTTTCTGTTTGTAGTATTTAGCGATTAACAGCGGCATGAGCTACTACAACTATTTGAGTTGTTCCATCTCAAATGGTGAAGTCACAGATGATTTCACATGTATTGTTCCTTATCCCAGCCACACCTCCGGCCCTGACTGTGGCTTCTCTCCAGCAGTGGGCTCACACCTGGGATTCTCTAAGTGTTAATGGCAGAAGGACAGGAGTGTTCTTGAAGCCTTTTGCAGGTATTCAGAAAGCCTGACAAAGTTGTGTCTTTCTTTCTGCTTAGCAAAATCCAGTTTTGTAGCCTTAGTGGGAACTGTATCTGCTCCTCATGCTAAGTAGAAAATGGATACTTTATGGGAAAATACAGTATGACTTTATGGTAATGTATGAGTTAATTTTTTTATTTTTATTTTATAAATGTGTTTATTGGTTTTGGGGGGGGCAGAGAGAGAAACATTGATGTAAGATACACTAATTGGTTGCCTCCCATACGCACCCCAACCGGGGATAGAACCTGTAACCTAGGTGTGTACCCTGACTGAGAATTGAACCTCCAACCTTTTGGTATATAGAATGATGTTCCAACCAACTGAACCACACTAGCCAGGGTGAAATGTGTGATTTTAAAAACCTAACTCTTCCCTCCTGGTAGTCTTTCAGTTTGGTTTTGTCTTCATCCTAAGAGAGGCCACCTTTTCACTAGCAAGGAATAGGCTTTCTTATCTGAAATTGGATTCTTGGGTGTTTTAGCCCTTGGAGCCTTGGCCAAGAGATTGCTGAAGAATCAATCATCTTGAACCAGTAGGTCCCCTTTTCTTGTGGAATGGCTGTCCCCAAACCATCCTCCTGGGAGCCTTCGACTTGGAGAGATTGCTAGGCTGAGAATTGGAATTCAGGGGTTGTGTTTCTGTGACACTAAAGAGCTCAGCTAATTAGTCAATTTGGGTCTCTAGGTTTTCTGTGACTTAAGGCTCTCTGATTTTGAGTTTCTTCTTCTGTGCAAAGGATATAATAGTTCCTGTCTGCAGGGCTGTTTTGAGGATAAGATGTTGTAAGTACTCAGGAAACATTTGCTACTTTTTACTGTTGAACATTTAGTGAGCACACCTGTGCTCCAGGGTCTGGAACCAACAGGTGATCACAGATTGCTGGGTAAATGACAAAACAACAGCTTTTTCTTGTTGACTGAGCTCTGAGGAGCTAGTGGAGAGAGTGCAGGCAGGGAGCAAGCCTATTAGGAGTCAGCAGGGATGGGCTAACAGGAGACACTGAGCAGCTCTGGGTCAGGACTAGGTTAATGTGACTGTATAGCTACGTTTAGTGGGAGGAAACATGTGAACATAATTGGAACATAATTAGGTGTACTTCTTTATTCCTACTTTGACAGTCCATTTGTCCCCAGTGGAGTTGGAGCATTAGAAGAGATAGGGACTCAGATGCCCCACATAGGACCCTTGACCTGAACTTTAATGGATGACTGGGAGCTGCCTGGGAAAAGGAATGCAGTTCCTAGCAGATAGACTAGAATATGCAAAAGCACTGAGTCATAAAAGAGCTTGAGTGTTCAGGGGACAGTTAGGAGTCCTGTGTGGCTGATCAAGCAATGTGGAATTGGAAAAAGGTTACTGGAGTTGGAGGCTGAGGCCGATTCCACAGATCTTATACTTTTCATGAAAGGATTGAATTTGAATCTTATGAGTCAGGGGGAACCTCTTATGAACTCCTGTGTTTAGAAGCTCCTTCAATTTTCCAGTTGAGCTAATAGGGTCTGCATTGCCACCCTTCAAGCCCACACAGGTTCATGGTATTCGTGCAGAAAGAAAAATACAGAGCCATTGGGATGTCTGGCATGCCTTTATTCATGGGTGGGAGAGCCATGCATGCTGCAAGGTGCATATCTATCTGTCCCCTTGCATGTCTCATCATCATCTCCCCCAGGAGGGAGTCCCTACCTGTTTAAATATAGAGGGGAACAAAGCCAGAAAACTGCCAGAACATTACATAATGTAACATAATTCTGTGCATGCAAGCCCACTTCATGTTCTGGTAACAGTTTACCAGACCCGGTTTCAAGGCTGTGAGAACACCGGTTATCATGCTCCTCCAAGGCTATGGGAACACTGTGCCCCTTAGTTACCCAGACACCTGGGTGAGGAAGCCAGACTGCCTCCACTTACCCTACAGGGTCTGTCCACCTCAGGATCCTGTCAAGTTGACACTGGGAACCTGTGGGATGGGGAGGGGAGTGAGGCTTTTGCACCTGCCTTAGAAAGCAGGACTGACTGACAAGTCTTCTCTTACACAGGGAGGACAAGACATTCTGTCTATGATGGGCCAGTTAATGAAGCCAAAGAAGACAGAAATCACAGGTAAGAGAAATAGCAAAATTGGTGAACCAGAAGCAGAACTGGAGGGCCCTGGATTCGTGTGTGAGGCTCTATGAATGATTCCTCCCTAAAATGAGAAAGTGCCTCAGGACAGGTTCTTTCTTCCTCTTTTTTTCAGAGCCTTGACTCTATGCTAATAGTCTATGGCTGATTTAAACAGCCAAAAGCACACCCAGTGCACTTTGGCACTGTGTATTAGCACATCCTCTTAACTGAATTCAATATCCTTACACTCATCTTTGTAAATTGAAGCCTTCACAGTCTCTGGTCCCCTTGAGATCCTAGAAATGTGGATTGTGTTTGCCCAGCTCTGCAGGGTAGCTCCTGCCAGAGCACACATAAGCACTGAGCTTCGCTGCCTGGTACTAGATTCCTCTCCCCTGCCAGGAGTTTCCATTCCACCCTGCTCAGCTTCCTGGCACTTCCCACGTTGGCAGGAATGTTTCTGCTTCCTTGTAGACCTTTAGTATACTCTGCTTTTCTTCCAGACATGTCCCTCTTTTACTATTTACTACTTACAGCTTTATCACCTTAAAATGGTAAACATTTGCAGGGGTGTTCAACCTTTAGGCATCTCTGGGCCACACATTAAATACAGATACACTAATAAAAACTGATGAGCAAAAAAGATTTTAGGTAAATTTATAGTTTTGTGTAGGGCACATTCATAGCCATCTTGGACCATAATATGCAGCCCGTGAGCTGCAGGTTGGACACCCTTGCAAAAAAAAAAGGGTGTGTTTTTTTGTTGTTGTTTGTTTTTTAAAGTTTAAGCCAGTGGAGTGATTTGAGGTCTTCCTATTATACTCGACATGAACAGTTTCTATATTTTAACATGATTTTAACCATGCATCCTCTTTTGACCATGCATCCTCTTTTGACCATCCCTGCCTCATGGCTTTGGTGGGAGATGCTGTATCAAATCTTCATGTTCTGTGTTTGTGAGTCACTCCTTCTTGATAGCATAGGAGCCGCCTGGGAAAATAAGAACTGTGACCTTAAATGGGTTCTTTAACTTTTTTTTTTTTTTTTTTTTTAGATTTTACTTACTTATTTTTAGAGGGGAGGGAGGGAGAAAGAGGAAGAGAAACAGACTGGTTGCCTCTTGCACGCCTTTAACTGGGAACCTGGCCTGCCACCCAGGCGTGTGTCCTGACAAGGAATTGAACCAGCAACCTTTTGGTGTCTAGGCCATTGCTCAAACCAATGAGCTGTATCAGCCAGGGTGGGTTTTTTAACTTTTGAGAGACTTACCCTCTTAGAACTCTGAGATTGGACCTCTTCTCAGAACCTTTCATTCCTCACATGTTTTCTTCCAGATAGGATTCTATACATGCCTTTTATTCATTCCTTTGTCCAGGAACTCAACAGAAAGTTAATTAACCTAAGTTTTGAGATACAGGGCCAAAGATAGGGTTATTTACCAGTGCAGAACAAATTTGCTTATGGAAACTCATTTAATCCAGAGGCCCCAAACTCAGTGTCTTTGGGATCAGGCAGGGAGCTGAGTTTGGGTGGGTATGAGTAATAATGCCTGGTGGAGAGTGTGACTTTAAAAAGACATCTTCAGGGGAAGCTGCCAGTTTTGTGATTTCTAGTGTAATCATTCCTACTTTCAGATGATGAAACTGGAGTCTGGAGTAGGGACATGTGAACAATTTACCTGAGGTCACATAGCTGTCAGTAAAACCAGGCTCCAAACTTGGGTTTGGGTTGAATTCAGATGGGGAGAGAAGAGAAAAGGTGACAGTTTTCTCCATCTAGTGCTGACCTTGCATGTCTACTCTTGCTGTCTCCTAGACAAACTTCGAGGGGAGATTAACAAGGTGGTGAACAAGTACATTGATCAGGGCATTGCTGAGCTGGTTCCAGGCGTGTTATTTGTTGATGAGGTCCACATGCTGGACATTGAGTGCTTCACCTACCTTCACCGGGCCCTGGAATCTTCTATCGCCCCCATTGTCATCTTTGCATCTAACCGAGGCAACTGTGTCATCAGGTAGGGTGGCTGTCTGCCAACCATGAGGATTTTCCACCTTCCATCTGGGTTCATTTGTTCTCCAGGATCACTTTAAACCCTTATTATGTCACGAGTTAGGATTAAACTCATTATTATGTCATGAGTAAGGATGGGAAAGAAAGGAAGTCATATTCATTTTGAGAGAAACTTGCCAAAGTGGCTTGCTTTCAAAGGTAGTTCATGTGTCAGCCTTAATCCATCATGGTCACCAAAGGCAACTCCCATCCTATTACTGAATATGAGGGACTCCTGGGTTTACGGTATGATTTGGCCATTCAGTTGGAGTGGGCAAAGGTTAAGATTGGATAGGCTCATCTGGGTGACATTATATATGTTAACATCTTTGATTATACTAGCTCTAGGAGGTAAATATTTTTGGTTTCATTTTTCAGATGAGGAAACAGAGTGGCAGCATATCTTTCTCCTAGTCACAAAGGTAGAGTGAGAATCCAGGTCTTTCTAATAGTGAATCCAGTAACAAACCCAGAAATGTCTGTCTGTTCCTTAGAGCCACACAGTACCTCCACTACCCCTACTCCCTTAGGTGTGCTTTTGGAGAGGGAGGTGTTGACATCTGGAAGTCAAGTGCTATATAATGCTCACCCTGCCAGGATGGGCTCAGAGCTGGGACAGGGGACTGGCTGAGATTTTTTTTTTCTCCTAAGTATTCTGTAGGCCTGTGAGCCACAGAGAACACATCATCTTCCCAGCTTATAAGCCTGAGTGTCAGCACCTCATACTTGGTACTTTTTTTGCCTTTTGTTTTTTTTATGCTCCTGTTTGAAAATTGGGGCCACATTCTAGCATTGCTAGTGGAATGAAGGGGAATGGTAAGAAGCCCTTTTAAGTCTGCAACAAAGTAGTGAGGGCAACAGAGCTCTGGAGACTGCATGCTCTTGGCAGAAGGGTGCTAGGAATCCAGAAAGAGACCCCAGGGCCCGTGAATATTAACACAGAGCCAGAGCCACACTGAATTAGGAATTTGGATTTCTGACCCACCTGCACTTGCCTCTTGAATGACAATGAATAATATGCATTACTCTTTGAGTAATTTAATGAGTTAAGTTACTCAATGAGTAGTTTAACTGGCTCCATGAAGTAGTTTTGTCTCCACTGAGGTTATGTTACTGAACCCAACCAGTTGTGGATATGGGGGGTCCTACTGCTCGCCACCTGCCAGGCAGATCTCCAAAGATTGATGAAGTTCAATGGAAAAGAATCTTTTATTTAATGGCAAGTTTATGTCCAAAATATCTGGTAACAAAAGTAAGGGGAAAAGAAAAGTCAAGAGTATGACATCAAAAATAGCTACTTAAATATTTGTCATTACAACTACTACATAGGTTCAAGAACTGAAAATAATGCAAGAACAAAAATCTCTTCACAGTGCTGACTTATCACAAAGATCTTTGGAAATAATGGCAAGTTTCTGCTTCAAAGCCTGTTCCCTCTAAGACGCCCAGAGAAAAATCACCGTCACTCTCTGTCAGATCAGTTCATGGTTGCACCAGGAACCTCTTCTCCCGCCCAAAAGTATCATAAACATAGGTGGCTTAGCTGGTTTCCAGTTGCTCTCCAGCTTCAGGCATCTTTTGGAGTCTGTGTCCCCAGGCCTGCACAGGCCACTGTTAGCAGGCCCATAGGCGACTACTGGCAAGCCGCCCCGCCCCCCCCCATTGGGGGAGGGGAAAAAAACTAACTGACTTTTTGCTTTTTGGCACAATCCATTTCAGAAGTCCTTTCCCAGAATCCCATGTGTGCCAAAAGCCAGTGGGAGTGTCCAGCTTTCCAACCAATGAGGGCCAGTGTTGGCCTTATTTGGGTTTTTCCCTCTTCTAGCTGCCAAGTTTAGTAATGGGGCAAAGTCTCTAGTCACAGATGTGCAACTCAAACCCTCCCCATTTTCTGGGGGTGGTGGGGGTGGCAGTATGTCCATTATAGTTATAGTTATCTAGAAGCTGTTCTGTTGGTGCTGGGGAGTAAACTCCTCAGATTTCCTCTCAGTTAACTAGGAATTAGGACTTGTAGTCATGATTCAAATTTATGTAGCAGAATCTTGTAGTCACTCCTTGAATCTTTGTAATGCTGTGCTGATAATATTGCTACATGTTTTTTCCTTCAATATTTGAGAGAAGGCAGCTTGTACCAGGTCCAGGACAACCTTTGGCGAGAGGATCCTGGCTCCCTAGGCAGCTTCTGGAAATCAGATATATGGCTTGGTACCCAGTGACCCTGGTGTCTCTGTTGCATAGATTTGCCGTGCTTGCTTTTTCTTTGGTTAGACCTGGCTTCATTTGGGCTGCTAATGAAAGGGCTCAGCCTGGACAGGTGGCAGCCCTGCTGTAGAGCTCTGCTACCAGGTTCCCTTCTCTCACAGTGGATAACTCAGCCCAGCAGATGCCAGTACAGGAAGATGGCAGGAACAAGATATCTTAGGCCTCTGAGTATTTTCTTTCAGTCCCATTCCTTCCAGGAAAAAGGTACATAGGAAGGTGGCTTTGATCTCAGAATTGCCCAAAGGGGACAGAGCTCTGGTCAGCCTGCAATCAGGGAGACATGACCCAGCCTCTTTCTGACTGACTTGTTCAGGGCTCCTTGAGGCTGTGACTGCTCATGGCTGTCAGACTGCAGTCACCCAAATAAAGGTAAGATGTTCAATGTGTGGATCTTGTGTAGGCCCAATTAAGTAACCAAAATTGGGGTGTGTGCTCTTCAGGAGGATTTTGGTGCCAAGACCTAGAAGGAAATTTGTTGAGTAGTGATAATAATGTCAAAATATCAGTGTTAAAAATAATAGCCAGCACGTATTAAGGAGCTCTTTCTGTGTACCAGGCACATTGTTGCTCTCACCTTAACTTAGTGTGAGGGACGGCTGTTCTCATTGTTCAAATGAGGACACTGAGGCTGCACCAGGAGTGGACACTTGGCCAAGGTCACACAGCTCAGAGGCAAGACTGGGATTTGACCAGAGCACTGAACTTCACAGCTCATGCTGTGTATAAAATTTGGCTTAAATGTGAAATGATGGAATTTCTAGAACATATACATAGTTTTGTCCACATCTGACTTGCTGCCCATCAGATTCTACTCCTATATTTAGGAGCTATTTAGCTTCCTTCCTCACTTCAGACCCATATCTGACCTCCAGAGCTTGAAAGGAAAGGGGAGAGGAAGGAAACTCGCAGCCACTGAGGACTTCCTCTGTGCCAGACACTGTCCAAAGTACTATGGGTCATCGCATGTAATCTCAAGGCACCCTAACTACCTTCTAGGCAGGTGATGTTATCTCCAGATTTCACCCGTGAGGTGACCACCGTAGGCCTCAAGCTTGACATCTGACTCATGTCATTCCTGCTGTCCTGCACTGCTTTCTGGAATTGCCTGGTCAGTGAATGGGGATTGAGTTTTGAGTTGATGGTGGTTGTGTGGAGAGCCACTGTGACTAATAGTGTTAAGTGCCTCTGAAAAAGCAGACAGCCCCCAAGTCCTCTAGCTCTAGTCCACCTGCCCTTGTGCATTGGGGGATGAGGGAACCATTACTGGAAGAGCACTTGGCCCTATGTTTCTTCCATGGGTGCTTTACTCTCCTGTGGAAATTAACAGTGTTCATGGCTACAGTAAGAGGTGAAGCTGCACTGACTATGTCTATACTTGTTACCTGGAGAAGTCCTTTTCGTTTCACACAGCAGGAACCTCAGATGTGAAAGGAGAGCCTGGCTCTGATCCCAGCTATAAACATTTTGGAAGGTCTTCTTTTCCTGTGGAGATTAGCTCCCTGAATTAAGGGGTCTTTGTAGCAGTTTTTCTCCATAAGTCACTGTTGCACTAAAGCATGGAGACTTAAGAAACAGTGTGGTTTCAATTCCCTGTAACCCTGTGGCAGAATACCCCAAGTGCTTTATAGAGATAAAATTCACACCTTATACAATTCACCCAGCTAAAGTGTAAAAATTCAGGTTTTTTAAAAACATATTCACCAAGTTGTGTAATCATCTCCACAGTGTGTGTTAGAACATTTTCATCACCCCTGAAAGAAATTCTATACCTGTCAACAGGTACCCTGCCATCTGCACATGTACCCCGCCCCCTCACACCCCTATTTTTTTCCATAGTTCCTCTCTGCAGACCCTGGTAACCATTCACCTACTTTCTACCTTTACGTATTTAATGCCTTTTCTGGACATTTCATACAAATGACACCATACAATCTGTGGTGGTTTTCTTGTCTGCCTTCTTTTGCTTAATGTAATGTCAGTGTTCACTCATGTTATATAGCACACATCAGTACTTGTTTTTAAGGCTAAATAGTATATCAAAGTATGGAATATTTAATAGCAAGTTTTCCCATTCATCATTCGATGGACATTGGAATACCTAAGGAGTAGAATTGCTGGGTCAAATGGTAGCTGTGCTTCACCTTTTAGGATTCTGCCAGACATTTTTTCCACAGTGGCTGCACCACTCTCACTAACAGTGTGTGAGGATTCCAATTTCTCCACATCCTCAACAACTCTTGGTATCATCTGTCTTTTTGATTTTAGCCATCCTAATGGGTATGAAGTGGTATCTCATTGTGCTGTTGATTTGCATTTTCCTGATGGCTAATGATGCTAAGCATCTTCTCATGTGCCTGTTGGTCATTTGTCTATCTTCTTAGGAGAGTTATCTGTTTATGATACTTTGCCCATTTTCTACAGGTTATTTGTCTTTTTATTGTTAGGTTGTAGAAATTCTTTATGTATTCTAGGGATACCAGACTCCCATAGATGGATTATTTGCAGATATTTTTCTCATATTCTGTAGGTTGTCAGTGTCTTGATTGTCTCTTTGACATACAAGTTTTAAATTTTGATAAAGTCCAGTTTATTTGTTTTTCTCTTGTTTGCCTGTGTTTTGGGTTTCATATGTAAGAAAAAGAATTTGCTCTGGTTGGTATGGCTCAGTGGATTGTTCACTTGCCTGCAAACCAAAAGGTTGCT